TTGAAGTTTTACACTACTATAAACTTTTTTATGATCTCACTTTTACTGTGTGTGTGTGTGTGTGAGTGTGTGAGAGAGAGAGAGAGAGATTTAGAGAGAGAGAGGAAGAGAGTGAGAGAAGAATGAAAAAGCAGAGTGTGTTCCAACCTGGTCTGTGTGGTCCTGGGGGAAGCTCCACAGCACGGTTGGATCTAGAGGTAATTGACAGACAGCATTAATCAGCGGGTGAGAAACACACCGTCTTCGCTAGCTGCCTCAGAACACATACATATTAATGAGAGGGGTGGGGGCAAGGGTGGCTGCTGCGAGTCTGTGCACGCGCACACACACACACACACACACACACGTAACAGTTATACACTCACTTACACACACAGACATATGCACACACACACACACACACACACACACAGAGACAGAGCAGCGCACAGTGAAAGACAAGAGAGAGTGTCTAGGCTGTATGTGCTGTAAATATGCTAATCTATATTCTCAGTGTAGATATGATAGCTTATATTATACACCAAATCATGCACGTTTAAGAAAGTCATTTCAACACATACTCTAGTTCATTTGCTTAATTATTCCTACATTGATACAAGCCCAGTTGTTTGCTGGGAAGATGTAAAACTTAAGCTAAAAGGTTTATCATTATAACAGCGGCTCGCCTTTTTTTTTTTCTCCAGGAAATAACATAATAACCAAGCTGATTAATCGATTTTGAGATTTAGCCAAGTCTGATATTATTATCAGTTAACATTTAAGTCAGTTATTGAGAGTACATTAGCTGGGTTCAAAAGCTTCAAAAATGCCATTATAAATAGAATACTTTGGGGGTTTAGGCTAATGATCAGACTAAATAAGAAATCTTAAGATACAACATATTGCTTTGATAAGCTGTGATGGGCATTTCTCATTCTTTTTTGACATTTTATAGTCTACATACTAATTGATTAATCAAAAAAAGAATTAATTAACAGTATCAAATCATTAGTTGCAGTTCTAGAGGACCTAGGATGCTCATTCTTGTTTAAGGAGTGTGCTTCAAAGACATTCATAATTTAAATAAATAATACAAGTACAACAAATAATAATAATTCTCTTAGTACTGATAGTTTGATATTAGAGTAGGGAAGAGGGGCATTGTCATGGGGTTGACAAATTGACACAGGAAAAATATACCAAACTGCATAAAATAACCATTTAATTAGCCTTACTAATCTGCAACTACTACCACTAGTGTTGCTTGTGTCACTCTTAACTCTCTTAAAGCTAGTTTCCGAACTAAAAACGTGAGCCTCGCCTCTCACATGCTTATACCATGTGGTTGAAAGAAAGCAGCCACCGAGCCATAGCCTGAACACAGGGGTCTCTGGTAAACATGGCTTCCACAGCTCCAAGGTCACCCTGTGACCTCGGCAGGAACAGCAAGGATTTGAAGAGACGAGCTCTCACATGCCAGGTTCACTGTCGCGGACATACAAAAGGCCTACAGGCTCATGAACACACCCCCACCTCTGCCTTAACTAAGCCCGCTGAGAGAAAGTCAATGGAAGCATCAAACCTTTTGATAGCATAGAAAAACAATAACAGTGAGTTCAACAGGTATAAAACTATAAGATCGATTAAGTCCCTGAATTGACAGATGTATTATAATGTATCTATCTATTTTTGGGTATGCTCCTGCCCACGAAGATTAATGTAGACATTTATGAAGCCAGAGGAGAGGGGCATTACATGCACACATTGTGTGGAGTAGCTTCGTGGCTAACACACCAGGCTGCCTGAGAAAGAGAGGCACACAATGGACAAACGGATGGCAGGACGCAGCAGAATCCATCATGCCTTACATAATCCTGTTGGATAATTTCATGGGCCCCATCTTGAAAAGAGTGGCACAGAAAAAAAAAAAAAAAAAACAGCAGAGCTCAAAGCTTTACACTCCAACTCCGACCCCCCCGCCCCCCATGATCTGCCACAGTTAGGGCTATTTTATGCTGATTTACTGGGTGAGAGGATGGGAACTGCTGCTGGAGTGTGATACAGGACAGAGGAAAAGGCACCGGAGTTGCTGAAGAGAAGGGGGGTAGGGGGTCGAATGTTTGGCAGCTCTGCCTACCTTCCGCAGTGATCGGCCAGGTGTGCATAGGTATGAAAATAGGGGACTTGCCAGTGTCCATGTTCACAGCTGAATAAATTGGCTCAATGTGTCGACAGTACACTCAGAAGAGCGTGTGACTGAATTCAAGATCAAGTTCAGATCTGGCTGCAACACAATACACCCTTTTCGCAGTTTTGACTTGTCATGCAGGAAAAGCACAAGTGAAACGTCATCATCGATGGCTTAACTTAACAGGTGCCCCAGTAAGCATGCTGAAATGATTAGTTGAAAAATTGATTAGGTGAACAATAGAAAAATAATGGATGGAAATCTTATAATCCTTTATCCCAAAAGCTTTGAATCAATATTTGTTGGTTAAACAGGATTTGCTGCTATACCATGTTTCAACTTTCTCTAAATTGAAAACTTTTAAATGTTGGTAAAATTAAATAACTTGACTTCTGGCTGAGATAACTTTTTATAGTCCTTCTTTAGGGCTTGTATGCCATGTATGAAAGCTCTAGGAATAGTCTGATATAACGTCATATCAAATGACTAAATTAACTTCAAATGTTCAATCCGGTATGGAGTCACACAGAGGGAGTGTTGGAGCGCCAGAGAGGCATGAAGACAGACAGCAGAAGGCAGAAAACAGTGAGCTGTAACAACACACAGAAATATTTTTCTCATGCAGCTGAGGACATGTGAAAAACTTCAGAGCACTACCAAACACCTTCCTTTATCATTCATATCTCCTCTTTCCGCTGCATCCGGTGTGCGCTTTCCTTTCTATCCTACAGGCTCTTATTCTTTCTGTTCTGCTCCACCTCCACATTTCTCTGCCAATCATTTTGCCTCTTGCTTCTCTTCTCCACTGTCATTTCTTTTACATATTCCACTTGTTTTTTCGCCCATTTCTGCCTCATTTCCAGCCCCTTCTTCTCGCCTCTCTGTTTAGCATGCCTGCCTAATTTTTTTTCTATTTCTACCACATCATTTCTTTCTCTTTATCCCGCCCTCCCCTGTAGCTCTCTGTCCTCTTCACTTCTGCACCCCCCCTACCCCCTATTTTTCTCACTCTCTTGCGTTCGTATACCCCTCCCGTCGGACGTGCTGGGCGTGTGGTGGACGCAAGAGGGGGCCTGAAGGGGGTTAAGGCTGAAAGTTGAAGGTTACAGAGGTGAAAAGGACCCCTGCTGCTCCGCCAGGGGACACAAATGTCACCATGACAGATCCTGCACCGCTTAATCCACCCTCCCCTTCTTAAAAAAAATCTCTCTCACACACACA